TTAACCTTTAAAGCCCTACATGGCTTGAGGCCTCTCCCCGTATGATCCTCCCACACACTTCAGTCTCCTGGGAGGAATCTGCTGCAGCCTATATAGACCAAGCTTTCATAGACCTCCCAGAGGGCCTTCTCTGTGACCGCTCCCAGACTGTGGAATGTCCTGCCGGACGAGATCCGTCTTATTACCACTCTTGCTGCCTTTAAAAAGGCAGTAAAGATGGATCTCTACCCACAGGCCTTCCTGGAATAACTACCCGGCTAATTAGAGGTGATCCGCCATTTTACCCCTCCGGTCACCATGATATATATACCAATTGCTTTTATAGTATTTTATGATTGAATTGATTTTAATTCTACAATAATTTAATTTAGTTTTAAGGGGTGGGAGGGTGTGGGGGTGGAGGTGGGGTGTGTAGGATGATGGAATGTTTTAACTGTTGTATTTTTTAACTTGCTGTAAGCTGCCCCGATTGCCGAGCAGAGGGGCGGGTTATAAATAAAAATTATTATTATTATTATTATTATTATTATTATTATTATTATTATTATTATTATTATTATTTCTGACTTATGGCGACCCTAGGCCGAAACTATCATAGGTTTTCTTGGCAAATTTCTTTAGAGAGGGTTTGCCATTGCCATTCTCTAAGGCTGAGAGTGTGTGACTTGTCCAAGGTCACCCAGTGGCTTTCATGGCTCAGTGGGGATTCAAACCCTGGTCTCCAGAGTCATAGTCCAACCAATACTTGCACATTTTTGTTTCCCTCTAAAAGGGTTAACACCCTGGGAAACTCAGATTGCACCCCACAGTCATGCTCAACAAGGAGGACATTTTGGAATTCCTCCTGGACAGAAGGCTGAAATGGCAGACATGTGCTGAAAAAGGAGGCAGTCTTGTCACCCTGGTTTCGGTTCATGTGGAACTTTAGTCCAATATCCATGCCATCAGCTTCCGTAGCAATTTCCATTCCTCTTTTCTTGTACTTTCCTCCTTCTAATCCCAAACTCTGTGTGTGTGTGTGTGTCTAGGAACAGGCTGATTCTATTTATACATCTCTCTTGGATCACAGAGTCACACCAGTGACTTCTGGCTCCCAAAGTCTCATCTACAGATTGACTCAGTAAGTTCCTGCCAGACATCTTCATTCGTCTTCCTCCGCTATCTGCTCAGATGGGAGACGGAACCAGTCCACTGGGAACCGGCATCTCCAGATCAGATCAGCACTTATCACAAAGCTGACTACACACAATTGTTTCCATCTCTAGTCTTAAGAGTTCCATACCTTCTCCCACTGCACCCCATTAAAAAGGGCTCAGATAAAAGTGATACAAGCATTTGCTAGAGCCAGCTGGAAGAAAGAAACTTTTTCTTTAAAGCATCGGAAAAGATTGGAAATGATTACAAAACAGAGAAGAGCCGAAGGAACTGCAGCTGAAAGTTGCGCAAAGATAGTCTCCCATAAACGTTGACGTGTTACCTTTTTGGATTACAGCTCTCAGGTTAGGATCCAGCTAATTCAAACCATAGGACGTTATCACATGTGGGCCAGAAAACGATAATAAAGTGGAAATG